CCCAATAATTTTTCCCCCTCTAAAAAACACAAACAATGACAAGTATAAAAGCAGATAACCTGAATATCTATACAAACTGCTATATGGCTTGTAAAAGTTTTCCATTTACATCCTGTCACCTCTTCTTTTCACATGTATAAAAGATGGGACAATTATTTCAACAAACCTACCCGTATAAATCAACGCAGTTTTGCTGTGGGAAGACTGGGTGTTTAAGGCATTTAATATTTCAGCATTGCCAGATTATCACCCGGATCCATTTCGTTTTGTGGTCAAGTGCATGATTAGCACTGTGACAGGATATTGGCCATTTTCGTATGAAGATCTGCAAATTCTAGTAAACAAATACCAGTTGGAAAAATTAAGAACAAGTCTGTGGACTGGAATGCACTCTACTTGTAATGGGAACAAAAAGCTGGCAATCAAATCTAAAGAAAAAGCTAAATCACAGCAGAATGACCTACTTTAAGGCATTTGCCAAAGAGGCAGTGTTTTTAGACAGCTCTTCTGAAGTAGCGTCTTTCTGTCTATGCCATCTGCAGATTTATTATTGCCTGAAAAAAAAAAAAAACAACCAAAAAAAAAAAGCTCTATTTGAATGATACTAAGAGCCTGGTCTATAGGAAAGATTCCAGTATTGTGGGCACCACACCCACACCTACTGATGTGGTCCAAGGTTTTGCTTTAGAGGCACCTAATTAAGAAACCCTGACTCATTTACATGGAGACGTTTGATCTAAATTACACTCCAAACCGCACCAAATTGGGAGCATCTGTGAATGTGAAATGTTTGTTCCCTGTGACGGCTAGAACAGGGCCAGCTCTGGACGGCACATGTTCAAGTGACGAAAAATATTTCACATGTAACGTACTTCTGAGACCCACTTTTCCACTAATAATTCATAGTGATCCTAACCAGTATCTGTACTTCCACAATTATTTCAGGCTGTGAAAAATTATGTCACTTTTTTTTTCCTACAGCTAGGAAGAGGTAGAAGACCACCTACTTGGTTTGTTGTCATTGATATTGGCCTTCAGGGCAGCCAATAGCAAAGAGGCAAAGCTGGATGGTGCAGAGGCTGGTCAGTATATATAGCTCTTGACTTGGGAACCCAGAAATGCAGAGCCATCATCTAAGGGGATAAGTCACAAGGATGACCCCTCTCATCACTGCCTTGACTTCTCCAGGTTCCCACTTGACTTGCTGGTTCTTAGCAAAGCTTTGCCTCCTAACTCCTTCAAGGCTGTATTTGTGTCCAGGACACACGCACTGCCTGTGAACACGAGACTGACACATTAAAAGTCATGTTCTCTTCAATGAGAGGGCATTCAGGTGCAGTCCATTTTGTTTCCATGAGGCAAAATGTCTAAGAAAGTAAAATTAAAAAAAAAAATTCTGCCATTGGATGCTAGGAACAGTACTCAGCACATAATCCTCAGGAAAGAGTGCTGTATTTCAAGTACAAATAAACAGTGTTTTATGGCTGCAGTCAACCCTCCACTCCAGCCACTTTACCTTATTAGGCCACATATCACCTATATTTCAGCAGGAGCCCAAGGAATAAGAAAGAAACTTTAAAAAATAATTCCAGAATTTTTTTTTGTCTAAGAAGGATATTAATGCATTGATCTGATGTACTGTTTTTGCAGTAGCTAGAATGAGATTTGAATATATTAATATTTTCAGCAGTAGGGCCCAGGGAGCCCAGTTAATAACTTATGCATGGATACATAGATATACTTCAGACAGAGGTAAGGTTTTCAGCTCTCGTGTTGGTAATACTTAGAGAGATCGAATGAAAGGGGCTGTTCTCCCTGAGTCTTTGTTGTGGGCATGCATTGTGACAGTATGGAGCCAGAGTTCTTCTGGTTGTCTACACAGCCTGGATTCAATAAACTGTTATATATGCATATTATGACAATGTGGTCAAGGAAACCAGATTTTTTTACTCTACCTTCAAGTGCCTATGTAGCCTAAATCTGGTGCTTATTTTTCTCGTCCCCATTCAATATGTTAACATATTCATAATTTAATACAGGTTATGTTCATTTTATAATTAACGTTATGGACTTGGGTGGAAAAGCATTCAGACTATACTGTATGAAAAATATCTTTTTCTATATTGTACTGTATGGTTCGGTGTGAATCCTAAATCTGGATAATCCCAGACTCTTTAGCTTGCTGGGGTTGCTATAACAAAATACCACAGACTGGGTGACTTAAACGATGGAAATTCATTTTCTCACACTTCTGGAGGCTAAAGGTCCAAGGGCACAGTGTCAGTGGATTGGCTTCTCCTGAGACCTCTCTTCTTGGTTTGTAGATGGCCATCTTCCCACTATGTCCAGGCATGGTCTTTCCTCTGTGGGCACACAGTCCTGGTGCTTTGGGTCCCAATTTCTTCTTCTTATCAAGACAGCAGTCATATTGGAGAGGAGTTTGCCTAATGGTCTCATTTTAACTTAATCACCAAAGGCCTTACCTCCAAATATGGCCACATTCTGAGGGACTGGGGGTTAGGGCTTCAACAAATGAATTTGGGGGCTAGGGGTACATGATACAGCCCATGACAGAGACCAAGGATATTTTCGTATCCATGTGGCTGACATGCCCCACACCAAATGTCTATTGATTTGAGACCAAAATGAAAAGTTAAGTTAGTATTTTTAAATCTGTGGTATTTTTCCAGTATGATTGTCAGTCACTTTCTCCATCAATAAGAAACAAAGATGACTTTTGAAGGTTTAGGGGAACAACAGCAGCAACATGACTGTTCTCATACCTTCTCGCTAGACTGGAAGGAAGCAGTTACTGAGTACAGTAAGTGTTACCACAGGGCCGGCCCGAGCTCCACCCCGCCTTCAGGGACCCCTGGTCTCCAGGCCTAAGTGCCTCACTCTCCATTACTGCCGCCCTCCATTAGAAGCAGATAATGTGAGAGAGATCACTTTCACAATAAAACAGTGCACTTACACCACACCTTTCAACTCAGCGTTTCCAAATGCTTTAAAAATCATTATTATTTTTATTATTTATTTGTAGAATCCCAGCAGTCTACTCAGCACTGGGAAGTACCGTCAAAGCCACAGAGCTACAGTCTCAGTTTCACAGAGACTTAAATGACACTCAAGTCCCTGCCTCCCCGCCCCCCGTCCCGCCTTGATGTGCCAGTAAAAAATCTGAAGGTGGATGCCTGTATGTGCGGGCTTACCTTGAGAAAAGGGGAAGAGAAACTTGCCTGAGTTACCCTGCTACTTGAACAGCCGAAGAAATTTAGCAAAGAGCTTTCGTAGAGTGTTGTTCTGATAAATCAACAACAAAACCAAGAAAAAAGCAAGAAAGCAAATACATAGTTCTGGACCTAAAATTCAGAAAATGGAAATGAATTGCCCTCATCAAGGGCAACTACAATAACACTTTAAAGGGGTTATTAAGCAACGCAGGAAGTAGAAATCAATCATGCTCTGCATATTGTTCAATGGTCATTATTTCCTGGGTCAAATCTGCTTGACATTCAATTTGATACAGTCTTTCATCAAGCTGGAAAGCCCTGGAGAAACTTTCTTTTTTTTTTTTTGTTTTGTTTTTAAAGATTTTATTTATTTATTTGAGAGAGAGAGAGAATGAGAGATAGAGAGCACGAGAGGGAAAAGGGTCAGAGGGAGAAGTAGACTCCCCGCTGAGCAGGGAGCCTGATGTGGGACTCGATCCCGGGACTCCAGGATCATGACCTGAGCCGAAGGCAGATGATTAACCAACTGAGCCACCCAGGCGCCCCCTGGAGAAGCTTTCACTGGGCACCCACACTTTCCAGTAGGACTGTTGCCCGATCCACCTCATTTTTGTTTTCTGACTTTTTTATCATTGTTACATATTTCTGCCTTCTACTGAAAGAATTCTACTGCTTTACACATCTTCTGAGGTGGTGAATATGTGTTGTCCATTCCCATAATGCTAGAACCTGGTCCAGTGGGCCCAGGTTGTGGGCTGACAGCATAGTAGGTACTGACACATAGTAGGTACTCAATAAATATTTGTGAGATGGGGGAACAAGTTTTTATAGTACTCTTCAAAGCCATCTGACTTGGCATTTGACACATCCTGCTCCCTCAAGGAGTTATAAACTAAGACAGATGGCAACAAAGCAGAGGTAATCCAGATGCAGATTAAAAATCTAATGAAATAATGATTTCAGTTGCTTTAAATCAAAGTGACCAAATGCATTTGTAGAAAGTATTTGTTGAAAGTTATCTTGCCTAGTCTTGAATTTAGCCAGTGAAGGTTTTTTTTTTTTTTTTGGAAGAAGTATGAGGTCAGGAATTTTTGTGATGATGGGAAGGAGAAATCATAAATTGGAAGGGGTTGTAGAACATGGGGTGGGACCATGGGGGATCACTGGAAGGTAGAAATAGAGATCATTAATTGGACTCAGTAGATCGGAGGAGGCAAGGGAGTCAGGGAGGTAGAGAAAATTTCAGTTACTTGGTGTGTTCTATGAAAAGTCAAGACCATCAAGTATAGAACCTACTTTAAGGATATTGTTGGAAATATAGGAACATCATTCTCAACATGATGGACGAAATAATAGAGTAGAAATTCAGGAAATAGGAGCTGCCCTATTGCAGCCAAAATAAGAAGGATGTTCATTGCGTCTTCTGGGCTTAGTGCTGGTCACCACCCTGGGCAGTACCACTTGATCACCAGAGCTGGGGACTTAGGTTGGGCCTAGACACACAATATAATCATCCATAAATCACCAAAGGGTGTTTCCTGTGTTGGAGAAAAATATGCAATATTTCTTTGTCTTTCACTATCGCAAGTTGGTAATGCGGAAAGACTATCTATATCCTTGTGTATCAGGCTGTTCTGAGGCTTAAATAGCCTGAGTCTCTCAGAGGAAGGATGCTGCAAAGCAGAGGAGAATAGGGTGCCTTCTGAAAATGAGTGAACTAAAGCCACTAAGAAGCTGCTGGGCTCATCTCGAAACCCACCAAGTTACAGCAGCCCAGCTAGAAACAGAGTTCAAAAGTCAAAAATGCCTGACTACCCTAAACTAAAACAACATCCAAAAGTTCAGATTGCACCGGCATGGCTCAAGCTGCTCTATTATATTTCGAATTTGGCTTTCAACTGTTTATATTCCAATGTGCGATGTCTCTTTAAAAATGTAACTGTTGAGTTTAAAATCAGGAAGTAGTAAAGTGGCTTCACAGAGAGACGCATATGGAAGGTTTTTGTTTTGGGGGGTGGGGGAAGGAGTTGGTTTTGGTTTTAGTTCTGTGGAATTTCAGTTCAATCAACACCTAGGCCACTCCTTAAAAAAAAAGAAGAAGAAGAAGAAGAAAGACTTTTTTTCTTTTTCTCTTTCTTTCTTTTTTTTTTTTTTAATGATTCAGTGTGCAGAGGTTTTCTTGCAGACATCTGGGAGTTTAACCAAAGACATCCAAAAGGCAAATAGAGGTATTTTGGCCTATTACTGCTTTGGCCAATATGCTCACAGCAGCAACAGTGAGCATCTAACCTTTTATTCTCACTTTCAATAGGGAAATGCTTTATAGGTCTTCAAGATGTCAGCACCCAAAGGGAAACTGTTCAATCCTCTCATTTCAAAGATGAGCAAACCTGGGAAAGTCCCAGGTCATCTGGCCAGTTCCCAGGTCCTAAAGCACAGGTTTACTTTTGTGGTGGGGGAAAAAAATGGAAATAAGCCACCTTGAAGGCACTTGAGCTTCAACTAACTAGTTATTCTGGGTAGTTAAATGGAGTTAGGATTCTTAGAGTTGCAGTTTCCAAAGGAGATAATATCTCACAGAGGTCTCCTTTCAAAAAAATTGCCGGTTCTTCCTTACTGTCTTAACTTTACCTGGAATTCTAACCATTACTTCCATGCTTGAATGTGTCACTCCCCCAGACGAATGAATTTTCTCATCAACACCACTGTATGGCCTGCATCCCCATCTGGAACGGTTGGCCCACACTCTTCTGCTCCTATCCAGGTTCTTCTCCATGCTGTCTGTCCATTCCAGATTCTACCACTTCTTCAAAGAATCTTACTCAATGCCCAGCTCTTTTAAGATTTGCTTGATCAGAGATCTGGCCCTATCTGAAGAGGTCTTCCTTACTCTCAACTCATAGCCCTTCTTATGAACAGCTATACAGGTGAATTGGACACTACATTCAGCACAGTGAATGTAATAGGCCAAAGGCTATCCTTGTGCTTTTTTAATTCTTCCAGAATGCCTAGGATGAATAGACACAATTTATTCAGCACTGGCTATGTGTCCCATACTTTGCTGGATATTTAAAATACATTATCTCAATTTAGGAAGCATGTAAAATGGGCATTATGTTCGATTGATGTAGCTAAAATCTAGCATCCAGAGGGATCACATCTTTTCCTAGATCAGCCAACTAAAAAGTGGTGGGATCAGTATTAGAATGCAGATCTGTCTAAATCCAAAGATCCTATGCCTAACTTCTACACAAAACTGTCTTCTGTCTGAGTAACCTGTGCATAAAAGTCACTAAATATTTGTGAATTTCATGAATAGATGAATGAATGAGTAAATTAATATGGAACCTGTTCCCTGTACCAGCCTGACTTGCAAAAGTGAAAATAATAAGAAATTCTGAATCGTGGTGCCTCTGAACAGATGTGGTCACATAGAAAGTACAAGGAAAACAGAAATGTTTTCAGAAGTTAGCAGTAAATTGGATCACTGGTAGTCTACCTGGAAGTGGTATGACTCATGGGGAATGAAGCAAGTCTCCAGTCAAACTTGGCAAAACCATTTGGAACTTTAGAGCATGCATCTTAAATATTCTACTAACTTCACCCCTTATTTTCCCTCTGCTCTTGTTTTCTTACTCATTTTAAATATATTTTAACTTTTTTATATCGAATGCATGTTTTATATACAGTAAATGCTTTTATTTGCTACAGTTTAATACATAATAAAATTAATTAAGAAAATAAAATTGGTACTCAAATTTACAGAACAGGTTTAGAAATGTTTACTGAGAGGATAGAAGTGGGGGCTCATGGCCTCATGTATCATTTCAGCCAAGCATAAGACTATAATTATGAAGTTGTATTTCAGGGAAGATCTGAAATGTGTGGAGTTCCAGGAAGGTACCTAAAGCTACAACCTCTCAGTATTAAAATCAGGAGAGTTTAGAGGCCAATGAAAGATATTGAGATTTTCATAGAATTAAAAAAAATCCCAGTAAACAGTACAAATATCTGAGTTTTAAGATGAGTTTTTGTTCAAACACCATAAGATTTGCACACTGATATTTTAAAACACAGAGATGAGGGTTGACTAAGACTGAAAGACACGGTTTTCTTGAAGTTTCTTGGCGAATTAATATCAAGACAACAAAGAGAAGCACATTTTATTTCTGAGGCCACCTTCAGTTGTGTTTTCTAATGGTAAGGGAGGCTGGGATCCACTGATCTGTTCCAGTCATATCACACAAATACCTCAATTTTAATAAAGAAAGGCCTTGTTCAGATTTCTCCAGTTGTGGTAAGCAGCAGTGACATTAGGCGACTCTCAGTTCATGGGAACCAACTTAATTCAGTGAATGAGCCATGGAAAGGGAATCAGTTAGGAAAAGGGAGAGAGTATTTCTTACCAAATTGTCATTGCCCTCTGCTTTGTCAGTGGGTATTATTGTCTACGACAAATTCTCAAGGACCTCCAAAGAATCAGAGTCAAGCCCTTTTTAAGAGTGTTGAAAGGATGGGTATCTGATTTGTTTTAACTGCAGGCATGTGTGTGACCAAATAAAGCAGATCTCTGAAGAGTCTTTTTCCAGATGTATATATGACATTTGTACTTTATCTGAGCCCATTTTGGAGAGTGAAGGCCCTTCAAAAGTAATATAATCTGTGTGGATTGAAGGTTTGATACTCAAGAACCCAGATATCCGTTTCCAGTTACATCAGTGAACTGTACCTCCAGTTACTGATTTCAATTCTAAAATAGAAAAATTAAAACTGCCCCCATTTTATTTTTCAGAAAACACTGTGACAAGTTTAACGAACCTATGTCTCCAACTCATGTGTTATAAGACAAGCTACCATAAATTTTCAGTCAGAAACTACTTTTAGATTTATTCAGAGACTAGAAGAATTCATTTCCATTTTTTTTATTCACTCAGTCTATGGAGTTAAGAAGCAAGAATATTCGCTCCTCTTTGTTAAACGGTCCTATCTACGAAGATAGAGGTTCTAAATCTTGGGGAGTCTTCAAAGTCTTTAACAGTCATCATAGAGGTCCAAACTGTAATTATAGTATCTATAATCTATTTTTCTTAAAAAATAGTCTAAGTTTATTTTTGCAAGAAAAAATTAAATATAACCTAACAAATCCTACACACTCAAATACGTCTTTATTCTAAATTTAACTTGCTTTTATCTTGGCCTACCCTCATTTACGTTAATATTTGATTCATAAGCTTCATCTTTTCGTGAAATGTCCAGTCTAACTAGTCTAGGATGTGTGGGTGGTGCTCACCTTGGCTTAGATGTGCATGAACACTAACTTCTCCTTCAAACAATCACAGTCCTTTGCTCAGCACAGATAGCCAGGGGCGGCAGCAAAAGGGTGAAGGAGATCCATCATGAAATGTCCAGTGTCAATGTGTTCTCGCAATTTATTTACTGACCCTCAGCGTGCAGCCACACTCCTGACCCTCATGAGATGGAGCCTGAGGGGGAAATGGCACTGGGTACCAATTCCTATGTCCTGTTGTTCTGTGGTCTCAATTAAGTGCTAATTAATTACCACTGGCATCTTTGGCATTGCTTGTCAAATTGCATTTAGGAGTATCTTTTCAGTGTTTAAATATCAGTAGTCCAAAATCCACAGCTAAAAAATCCCATGTGTGACGATATCCTTTGTCTTGCTTTTCAAAACTATGTTTTAAAATTCAGCAAATATATCTATAACCACTGCAGGTAGCTTTCAAATACAACAAATAGGAATTGGTATTGTCAATTTTGATTAATAGTACTTCATTAATAAACATCCTGTTATTCAGTCTCCACCTGCACTTGCTGATGTTGCCTGGAATCAATTAACTCATATAATTTGATTTATTTTACAAAGACATTTTGGGATGTGCTGTGCTGATGATAAAGGTCCTATTTTAGCAGTTCTTGATTGCAAGTTAGATTGTACCTGAATGGATTTGTTTCTGCATGGATATGTATATATGAGTGTGTGTTCTGCAAGTGAGTAGGAAGCAAATACTGTTTGAAGAAGTCTTGAATTAAAGAATTAATTTTAAGACATGGTGGGGGGGTATCCTCCTCAATATTCTGACTTTCTCCGAACAGCTCTAAAAAATACAGATCCTGAAATGTTATGTATTCTCTCTTAATCAAGTTATTTTACTTAGCAGGTTAGTGAGTCTTCTTTTAAATCAAAGAGCAAAATGTGTTACTAAGCACCAAAATTAAAACACTAGCTAGGGCTAAGATAGTAAAGCCAAATATTGGATTCAGCTTTATGCATAATATTGTTTTGTTTTGCTTTCTTCTAGGTGTAATTTCTCTTTCTCCCCTAAATATTTACAAGCCACAGTTTCTGGATCAATCCATTTGGTCCCAATTATGTACATTATGAAAACATTTCCTAGATTTCTATAGGTACTTGAGACATGCCAAGTGTGGTGCAAGCGACAAAAGTCTAAATCAAACAGGTCAGGCAAAAAAAGAGAACTCATTGGGTTACTTAACTGAAAGTTCAATGATTAGATGTGACTTTGGACATGACTAGATCCAAGTGCCCAATGGGTATTGCCAGGAATTTGCCTCTTTCCATCTCTAAACTGATCATCTCTTGGTTAGCCTCATTTTCACTTAAAATCTTTCCTCCTGGCAGCAAGATGGTAGCAGCAGGATTGTATTGTACCAGTTTAACATCCTCAGGGGCAAGTAAACTTCTCTTTTGTTGTGGGAATAGAAAATTCCCAGGAATAATTCTCCTTGGCCTGGCTTGGATCCCTTGTTTATTCCATATTTGTTCCTAATCCATTCACTGTGGCAGCGCTCTCATGAGTCAGATGTGGGATACAAGCCCATCCCTGGAGCCAAGGACTAGGTCAACTCCACTCAAAACACAGAGATTGGGAGTGGGGTAGAGACTGTTTGCCCCAACGATGGTCTTACCAGAAGAAAGAAAAAATGATGAGTAGAAAGAGAAAAAAAAA